TTTAATTCTTTTCATCTTTCCACTGAAATCGCTCCTCTGGCCCCATAATCAGCTGTGTGGGTTCCAACTTCCCGATTTCCAGGGGGATATTAAGCAACTTTCTCATCTAAAGGCACTTTGGATGCCTGGGCCACCCCATGGGCTGGCTAGACCCCTCTCTGGCGAGAGGCCTGCTCTCACTCTTCCGAGCCCTGGCCCGCCCTGAGTCCTGGGCCTTCCATAAGGAACTTCCCATGCCCCTACCCTGCCCTGGCCCCCCCGAGATTCCAGCCTTCCCAGCATTACTACTTCACACAGAGGACTCAGCTGCCTCTAGCCAGGCCCAGAGCCTAAAGTTCACAATTTCCTCTATCACCAGCTCTTGGGAAAGGAGAGATGGAGGTGGGGTGGGGGCAGGGTGGTGCTCAGGGTCTAGAATCTGCAGAGAGAATCCTCCCTCTGGTTGCTTCCCACCCCACACCCCTTCTCTTCTGGCTTCTCTGCTCATCTCATACACTGTTGCCCTCAGAGGCCCTTTTACTGAGACAGTGGCCATCCATGGTCTCCCCTTGCTGATGAGGGGACAAGACTTACCAGCTGTCAACTCTCTGCGAGTGTATCATCTACCCTGATCATCTTCTGAAACCACCTCAGAATCTGGTCCTCAGCTGCACCCTGGCTTGAGAGAGACCAAAATGGGTCAGGTTCATGGACTGAGTAGGAGGGGCCCTATTGGAGAGAGGGGCAGAGAGAGATTCTAAGGCAAAGTAGAAATGAGTTTTGGGTAATGTGACATTTGAGCTTGCCTTAATGTATAGCTAGGGAATGGTGGTACCTTAGATCTGCCTTTCAACATGGAAGAAACAATTGTCTAGAAAGGAATATCTGAGACAGAAATAAGGAAAGAAGATACTCTGTGTTGGAATTGCCCAGGAATCCCACCATGGAATGCCACAGTTTGCCTCTGAAATGGGTGGGGTCCTGAGGCCTCCACAAATGGATACTGGCATCGTAAGGCCTGAAGATACCAGGAGGACTCTGTGGTCTGTCTTGGACTGAGGGCTTCAGAGAGTCTACGAATGCCCTGACATTGTACACAAAATCTTGTGGATATGGACATTATTGTGGGGAGAACTTCCATGGCCTTAATCACGTGCTCAAAAGGATCCCTCACCCCAAGAGGTTAAAAACCACGGGACTGGAGGTTAACATGAAGGTGACACTTGAGGCTGGCCAGAGTCACCCAAAGGACCGGGGCAGAGTGGAGCCGGATGACCTCTGGCTGAAACAGGCAGACTGGGTCAAGCTCAAGTAGTAATGTGAGTCTGAAGAGGTGACCCTCACTTCTAAATGTGTGTGTGTGTGTGGGGGGGGGTTCCCAGAGATGACCTGGGGTCCTAGAGACCCCATCTGAAAGCAGAGCTCTGTCAGGGGACATCCCATGGCTCACATGACACACCTTCACAGGGCTCAGCTGTCTGTTAGCTTTATCTGCTGGGGCACTGGCAGGTACTAGCTGGCAAGATGGTAAAGGTGATCTTCCTGAGGCATCAGTGAAAAGCACACAGGTGGGTCTGTGCCCATAACTTTCACAATGTGTACGAAGTTCATCAGCCTTAGAGTAAAAATGATATTTACTCTTCAAGGGGCTGTGAATGTGTCCAGCACTGATGTTGGTAAGTCAGAAGAATCACAGAAAAGGGAAAGGTCATCAATGCCAAAGGGACGATTTTGGGAGAAACAATCTTAGCCAGAAATCTCTTAGCCTAACTGCGCTGACAAAGCTATTGGACCTTTCTAGGTCACAGTCGCCTCTCCCATGAAGTGATGATGTTGAGCGGTTGGATCTCTGAGGGCATCTTCAGTGCTGCCACCTTAGGTTTTAAGAAATGCCCCCACCCTGTCCTCTCCCTGGAGCTCTTGTGTGGGGAAAGAGGAGATTATCTAAAAGCCACAAGAAGCTTTCCCAGCCTTTCCCCCTGCACTCCAAGACCACCCACCAGGGCCTGCACTCAGCTCCCTCCTTCCACAAAGTCGATTTCCCTACAAAAGAGGTTGTGGGAACAAGAAGGGTTTTACTCTTCCTTTTTTGACTTGTCTGCTTGCTTGCTTTCAGGCTCAGATTGAGCACATTGAAAGGACAGAGCCTAGGGAGGCTGGCTCAGGCAGGTGCTGAAGGGGGACCCTGGGACCCTGGGAGCGCTCGCTGCTAAACAGACCAGCGCCAGCCTGGAGACGGGGGTGTGAACCTCCCTCTGTGCCTTCTGAGGAAGAGACGGCCCTCTTCTGTCCTGGGAGAGATGCACTGCTGTCCTAGATAACCCCTCAAGCTCACTTTCTAGAGCCTCATGGCTCTAAAATGTTTCCTTCTACCCAATGTGAGCCTGGGTGGCTTATATATATGTGTGTGTGTGTGTGTGTGTGTCTAGAGATATGTGTGTGTGTATAAATATAGATAGATGGATACAAATCAAGGGTTGATGAGGTGGTGGCAATGCTGTCTGCCGTGGCAGCCAAGCTGCTATCAGCGCTTAGAAGGGGGCAGCTCCTGCGTCTGTCCCCACAGGTCTCTCCAGACACTTCCGCCTGTCACTCCTCTTCCCAACTCCCCTACATCAAGCTGTCATCATCACCAACTTCTCCCTCACTTTTTCTCCCCACAGACAGGCTGTTGCTCTATCCTCACGTCTTCCTCCACAGCAACTCTGAAATCTGTTCCTTTCTTGGTCCCCGCCCCCTCTATCAGCATCCCCTTTGTGTCCCCATCTCTCCTGCCTCTTGTCTCTGCTTCTCTTTGCTTTTCTCCCTGACTCTGTGCTGTTTCTGTCTGCTCTTTGTCCATCTGTTGGCCTCTCTCTGTCCATGCTTGTGCATCTCCCAGCCCCCTCTGAATATCTCTCTCTCTCTCTCTCTCTCTCTCTCTCTCTCTCTCTCTCTCTCTCTCTCTCTCTCTCTCTCTCTCTCTCTCTCTCTCTCTCTCTCTCTCTCTCTCTCTCTCATTATTGTGTGTGTTTGTCTATCTCTTCATTGTCTCTGTTTCTCATAAGTAACTAAGCCAGAAACTCCTTGGGGAAGCATTGTTTCTAGCCTCCTCCTCCCTTCTGACCTCACTGTCCGGTTGACTTCTTACCTGGCCTGGGGGCAGAACAGAGGGCTGTATCTCCTCAGCCAGTGACAACCAGTGGGATGTGGGAGGAACAGCTGGGCTGCAGTCCTCTCTTACTAAAACTAGTGGCTGGCCTGGCTCATTTGCATGTCAGGTCTCTTTTACATAAATCTGCATGTCAAGCTGGAGGCCCTGGAGCCAGGTAATGCAAAATGATGCAGAATAAGTTAATCAGTGTTCCCTGCTGCAGGTGTAAGCCAGCCCTGTCTGCCAGCTGACAGAGTAGACCCTGACGGCTGGTGTCCTTATGGGGTGGGGGTGGAGAGTGGGGCAGGATTAGGGTGCTGCCCTGGAGTGGGCAGGTAGCTGTGGAAGGCCCAAGGGGCAGCCTGCTATCCAGCCTGGCTCTAAAGTGGCCCTGAGAGGTCTGGGACCCAGCCAGTCTGGACCACCACCTCATCTAGGCCCTGGAGACTTGACTCCAGAGCTAGAAGAAGGAGGAATTGGGGGCTTGCCTCATCCAGTGGGGAAACTGAGGTACAGGGAGTAGGGAAGCGACTTTTCCAAGATGACCCAGCTCTGTATGATAGGATCCAGATCAGAAGCCTGCACTTCTGGCTCTTGGCAAAGTAACTCTGTGCTCCTTGCCACTGGCCACAAGTGGGTGAATGCCACTGCTCCATTTGAGGGTCTCCAGTGACCCTGAGAGAGCAGAGGTGACAGCCTGCCCTTCTTCTCCACCCTGAGCCTTTGGGAGCCCTGCCCCTGCTCTAAGCACCTTGGTGTGTTCTCCAGCATTCCCTGCCCCAGCCATGGGGTCCTGCTCCTCCTCTAGGAAAAGGCAGCATGTGAGAGCATAGCAGCCATTCTCCCTCGGTGTTCTCCAGCTGATGGAAGTGTGACTTCTTGGCTACCCCCTGGATTCAGAAATGGTTCCTGAAGCCCCAAGGCTTCAAAGAAGCTCCTTCATGTGAGAGGGGGGATGGAGAACAAGGCTACTAGTACTAGACCTGTCGCAGACCCGGCTCCGTTTCTCTCCTCTGACAGGCAAAGGTGAGCCAATGGAGCCCAAACCTCCCAAAGACCTTACATCCACTCCAGACACAACCTGCAGTTTGTTTAAAGGGATCCATAGTAAATCACAGTTGTACCAAGTATGACTGTTCTCATCTTCCTCTGCTGCAGGAAGCTCACTAGGAGGGCCCCATCCCGCCACTGGAGAGTGCAGGCTAACTGTGCTGTCCAAGCCATCTCAGGAGGCAGGGCACCCAGTGGTTACAAGCAGCAGCTTTGGAATGAGCCACACCTCTGTCTATTACCACTGACCAGCTGTGTGACCCAGGGCAACACACCTGCCCTCGCTGAGCCTCATTTTCTCATCTGTAAAATATGGGTGTTAGCAGTTCCTGCCTCATAGGGTTATTATGAGGCTTAAATGAGGCAAGGCATGCACAGCACCCCACACAGCACCGGATAGAGAGGAAGCATCTATCAATGGTAGCCATTATTATTACTCTTGCAAAGATAGCTAGCATCACCAGGCCAGCCTGGGTCAGAGGAGGTGGGGTGGGAAGCGGAAGTGAGTCCACCAGGAGTTTTTCTCCCACTGCCCTTCCTCCTCCCATCACCTTCTTCTGTCCCCATCTCGCCATTTTTTCTCGACATTTGCACCAGGGGGAACGCCCTAAAACACAAATATTGTCACGCTACTTACTTGCTTTAAATCCTTTCCGACTCTTTGTTGCTCTTAGGATAAAGCCCTGACACGGCTTTACAAGGCTTTTTGTGATCTGGCTCCTGCTTATCTCTTGAGCCTCATCTCTCAGCCTCTGGGAACCAGAGCTTCGGGCTTCGCACTCACCTCCAGGCCTCTGGACCAGCTGCTTCCTGACTCCAGCGACTCACCTCCTCTCCTCCGAGCTCCGACATTGCCGCCTCTAGAACACTCCCACTCTCTCCTGGCTAAGGATGGAAAGAAAAAGGCTTAAGGGGCTCCTCGTCCCAAGAGATTTGTTTGGCCTGAGAGATCCAAGCAGTAGGAAAGTCTAAGATCATCTAGTCTGACTGTGCAGTTGGCAGAGGAGAAACCCAGGCCCCCAGGGGGAGGGGCTTCCTCTAGGTTCCACTCATGTCCTTTCCACACTAGCACGAGAGGAAATCAGTCACCCCTCCGCTGACACTAAGGGCCTCTCATTTTAGTGCAATGGCTTTTAATCTTTTAATAACCTCTCCTAGGAAGAATGAATAAACCGAAAAGACTTGGGGACCCAAAGGAACGAATTCCAAGCCCCAGGAGAGACCACAGGGATGTATTTTGGGGCAAGGCTATCTTGGAGCACCCCTCAGCCATCCCCATCAGACTCACTGTCTCCTTTACCTCTTCCTGATTCTGCCAAGGGAGCAGGGCCTGTGACTGGGGGACTGAGGGGCCAAGCAGGGGAGCTTCCTAGGGAGCTGCTAATTTAAAGGATAGCCAAGTGAGAACCACGGGCATGTGAAAAACACACAGGTTCTGGAAACAGGAGACTTGAGTTCAAGTTCCACTTGCCAGCAGTGTGAAAAAGGGCGAATCACTTAACCTCTCTGCACTTCCGCCTCCCCGCCTGTAAAATGGGGGTGATAATAGCTCTGTCCTAACAAGGCTGTCATCGGGGTCATATGGGGTGATCGATGTGAAAATGCCTCCTAAACATGTCACCATTCAACATGCATCCTTCTTAATGAGACCAGAGGATCCCAGAAAGGTTCTGATGGAAAATCAGGCGCCAGCGCCCAGGGCTAACTCACCTGTGCTCCTGCTTATATTCTGTGCCTAATCTGTTAGACTGAAAGGTGTTGGGCTTATAAATATTTGTTCCTTATGGCCAGACTTTCCTGAGTTTTATCAGCCTGGCTGATAAGATAACCTGCTCTGTGGGGTCAGCTCTGGCACCTGGCGTTCTGCATTACAGGTGACCTCTCAGACCTAACTTTTTAATACCTAGAAGTCAATACATGTGCTCTCAGCTTACAGGCTGGAGAGGGAGGGGCCATCCAAGGGGGCCTCCGAAATTAATTCTCTTTGTTTCTGAATCTGATGTCTAGAGTTGACCAGAGTCTCCGAGTTAACACCTTTCGTGCCAGATGGTGACTGGGTCTCCACTGGCTCCACTAAGCTCAGAACCAAAATGGTTTACAAAAGACTTGAAGTGAGCACCCTTCTCCTTTAATTAAGTGTGAAATCTCCATATCTATTTCAGCCTTTGAAAAGTGAAACCCAGGAAGACAGGTTCCCCAGGCAGAGAGGAGAGGTGTGCAGAATTAATATTCCATCTCGATTTTTCCTGTGTAATTTAATAAGTTGACTGAGCTTATCAGGGGCACCCGGGCTGCATTTAGCCACTGAGCGACCTGGGCTTCTGCTGCCACCTCACTTTTCCAGTCCACAGAGCTCCCAGGAGTGGTTGACTGGCCAAGCGAGGTGAGTCAGGGTTAAGGTGAAAAGCTGGGACCTGTCTCACCTTGATCGGTCACACATGTTACCATTTGGCAACATGCTCCTCCCCCCTCAAACATTCTAGCCAGATCCTCACAAAATTCTAGGTGCAGCCTGAAGTGCACCTGCCCTTCTGGGCTCTTAGCCTTGGGCCCCGGGTGGACCCCACTGCCTTCCACCTCTCACAGCCTCAGACAGCATTGACCTGAGCAAGATATTGATATGCTAGGTATTAAAAAAACAAAACAAAGCAAAAACTATTCTGGGACTTCCCCAGCCCTGTACCTCCAGGAAGAAAGAAAGGCAAATCCCTGAACTAGCTGAGTCCTAACCCCCAGCAGACCCTCCTCCTCACCCTTCCTCCCTCCCACCCCCTTTCTCTCCCTTCTCTGCCAGCCAGAGGGCAGCCCCTTAGCTGCTTCTCTCTGGGGCTGAGGACACTCAAAAAAATCTGCTTTACAAAAATAAAATTCTCATAGAAAATTCCAAATCCCTGGAAAGAAATCCTTGGAACCCAGTGTGGGAAACATGACCGAGTGTTCATCTCTTTTTGAACATCTACTGAGTTTCTGCTTATCTCCACAAGAAACACTTGGGAGGGGGAAGAAGACCAATTTAGAATTCATTCCCCCCAGAATAATAGAGCTCTAGAGCTGGAAGGGATTTCAGAGATCAACTAATCCATCCCCTTTTTTACGGATGGATAGGCTGAGATTCAAGAAGGAAAAATGGTCTGTCTAAGGAGTTTTAGTAACTCAGGCAGGGCCAGTGGGGCTTTAGCTCAGGACTCGCAAGTGGGGGTTAGAAGCAGGGACTCTGGTTCCTAACAGACCTGAGTTCAAATCGTGGCTCTACTGTGAGACTCTGCCAAGTTATTAAAGCTTCTTTGTGCCTTGGTTTCATCATTTATAGAGTGGGATCATGGAAACCACCTCATGGGGTCGATACATGAGGAAACGTATGTTACATGCCTGACATGTATTACACTAGAACATAAACCCGTCGAAGGCAGGGGCTTGGTTTCATTTAATTCTGTATCCGTGGAGCCCAGAACATGCCCTGCCCAGAGCAGCAGTCAATAAACACATTATGGAGTGGATGGGTACAGCACATGGTTCTAACTATCATAATTATTGCCCGGAGTACATTCTTGTTCAACTTCTGTCACCTTTTCTTTTCTGATCCTGGGCTCCTTTCTCTGTTTACTCCTCGTATCAGTGTGTATATGGGCACTCCTGCACACCCACAGCGCTCGCTCGCTCTCTCTCTCTCTCTCTCTCTCTCTCTCTCTCTCTCTCATCTTCATGTCTCCTTGCGGCTCTGCTTCTTTCTGTGTGTCTTTTCTCACCTGCAGGGGGAGAGGGAGAACCGTGAGGCTGAATCCAAACCCTCGCTTTCCTACCCAACCCCCAGCGTTCAAACTGCTCCCCTTTCTTCTGTATCTGAAATCCTGGCCACCATCCTCTAACATACTTTGTGCTGCCTAATAAATAAGGATGGTTAAAAAAAAAAAATCTCACCACTACTTTTTCCTTTTCAAGGAGGGCTGTCCACTTATTTTTGTTTTGTCTGACTCAGAACTGACTGATGCAATTCCCTTCTGCTTTGACAAATAGGGACCCTCAGCAAAGAAGGAAACCGAGCCAAAGTGAAAAAGAAGAAAGGGTCAGAGGCTTTCTGGAGATTTATGAAGTTCTCATTCGAGCCCAGGCAGCTGGACAGTTCTATTCTCTGTTCAGGCCTTGAGTTTCAGGAAAACACCAAGGCTCAGAGACGCACCTTCATCTGAGTCATTCGGGTGGAGTTGGTGTTTTTATCGGTGTTATCTTCCCGTTTCCCTCTTCTTCCGAGCTGAGAGCTTTGAGCAGTGAGTGGGAATGCCTGCTTTTTCCTTCCTTTGGGGTCTAGGATACTGGAGCAAAATACAAAGAGATAATCCTTCAGTTCTTCTAAAATCCCATTCTCACCCTCTTTTTTCCCCCCAATCCCTGAGTTTAGGGTTTTAATTCATTTTGAATTAATGCTCATCTTGAGGGAAAAAATGTGTAGGAAAGTGATAGACTAGATTGTAACACAACATAAATAACTCAACCCTACAAATTAACACAGGCCACAAGCCTAGGCCTGGCTCAGACCACAGGCGAATAAGAATTTGACTAATAATAGAAAATAACAATAATAAAAAAGAAGGCCAGTGGTCTGCCAGAGACTGGATTGGTGTGACCAAAAGATGAATTGTGAAGTGAAACACTTAACCCAGGCATGGTCTCCATCCTTAAGAGACTGGCCTACCCCTGTTTGTCTGAGCTCAGCTCTTACTGGGCACAGTGCCTGATGCTGAGTAAGTGTCCAGCACCCCACCCCCGACCCTGGCCAAGCAGGGAGGCTAGGTGGTGTGGGCCATCTAGTGGGGCTCCAATGAGCTGAGGCAGGTGGCAAGAGTGCCTCTTACCACAATTACAAGCCCTTTGAATGGAAGGGATGTATCTGTCGAGTTGAGAGTGGCCATGCACATCAAGTTCAGCAAACTGAAAAACAAAGCCGGTCTGTTATGGGCTAAAGATATGCATCCCCCAAAATTCATATGTTGAAATCTAATCCCAATATGATGGTATTGGGAGGTGGGCCTTTGGGAAGTGATGGAGCATGAGGGTGGAGCCCTAATGAATAGAATTCGTGCCCTTATGAAAGAGACCCTGGAGAGCTCTCTTATCCCTTCTGCCCTGTGAGAGGACACAGTAAAAAGATGACCAGCAATGAACTAGGAGGTGGGACCTCACCATACAGTGAATCAGCCGGTGCTTTGATCTTGGGCTTTTCAGCCTCCCAAACTGGGAGAAATAAATGTTTGTTGCCTAAGCTATTGGGTTGTCGGGAAAGTCTTGATGTATTTTTCTGTTTTACAATGCAAAAATGCGTCATGACTTTCCCAACGACCCAATACTCAGTCTATGGTATTTTTGTTATAGAAGCTCAAATAGACTAAGACAGGGTCTCAGTGCATTATGGGAACAGGATAAAGTCTTGCTGGGTGTCAGGGCCATCGAGAGTGTGGAGCAGGGAGTCACAGAGCTGAGGATGTTCTTCCCTAGCCTGGGCCCTGAACCTTGAGAAATGTGCCTCTGCCTGGGCCGCAGGAGCCACATAAAAATACTGCCTGCTCATCAGTTCAGGGTCCACTGCTGTGTTCTGCCCCAAACATTGGCTCCCACTTAATCCCAGGCTCTCTTCCACTTCAGCCTTCCTGGTTTATCCTACCTGACAGCCTGGTTCCATTTCTTCTTCATGACTGTCTTGGAAATCCCATAGTCTCAGCCACCAAGAATTAATCCCCAGACACCAAAATCTACCTCAGTCTCCACAGCTGCATTCAACTCAGGTGCCTGGGATACCAGAGCATGCCACACACCTGGTGGGGGTAGGAAGGGGGCATGTGGGGGAAAAGGGGGCAGGAACTAGAGAATAAAAAGGGTGGGTTGAAATGCCCACAAGAAGGAGAACAATTGGGGTGAATATTAGAAACAGTTAAAAAATATAGTTCTGGGCCGGCAGAGTGGCACATTGGTTAAGAGCTGGCTTGGGATGCCAGAGGGCCCTGGTTCGGATCCCACATATGAGGGCCAGTGACACTGCCCTCTACAGCTAAGATGCTGAACAACAGCTCAACCTGGAGCTGGGCTGCCGTGAGTCGCCAGCGACGGTGTAGGCTGCAGCCCTTGTGGCAGTGGGTTGCCATGGGCTACCGTGTGTAGCCAGCAGCCAGCGTGAGCGGCCAGCAGCCACTGTGAGCGGCCGTCCAGAAGCCGGCGACTGATCTGCCTCGCCCGGGAAGAGCACAATGATGGTGCCAACTTGGGCCAGTGAAGCAACGTCCTCCACAACTAGACTGAAGAACAAAAGGACAGCAACTTGTCTGTTCCCCTTCCCCCAATTCCCCAATAAAAATCTTTAAAAAAATATATATATATATATAGTTCTGTGGTACCTGGCATGAGTGGGCTGAGTGCTTTGAAGGGCCAATGGTAGCATGATTGGGACATTAAAATGATTTCCAACACCCTTTGTCATAAACAGGGTTCCCCTGCTATGAACCCCAATGATGTGGCCTCCGTCTGACTCTTTTGGCTCTTAGGTATGACCTGTAAGGAATGACAGAAGGGAATGGTTATTTGAGCTGAGAAAAATTTATTCAAACTCGGTGCTGCGTGCTAAAGCTCTTTTTCTGTTAGCTCTGTCTTTGTTCCAAGAATGTCTTCTTTATTACTTCTGGAGGTCTTAATGCTTATAGCAATCACCTGGCTCTTTCTGGTCTGGGAGTTCTGTTTGTCTCCTCACAGTGGGCTTTGCTTCTATTTCATAACATCCTCCATTTCAACTCTCAGTACTTGTTGGCAGAGGGTATATAGGAAACAATTAGATCTATGAATCAAGCTATCAATATTTGCCTTCCTGCCTCGTCATGGGTCATAGGCTCTGACGCAGAAGTGATGCTATACACGTCTTTACCCAGCCACTCACATTCCCAGAAAGTGAGCAGCACTTTTTGTTTTCATTCATGTTGATCCAAACAGAAAACGTCCCTTTGCAGTCACTCCAGCTTTGCCTCATCTTCCTCTGCAAACACAACCTTGGAAAATTTTCTGTTCAGCTTAAGGGAAAAAATTAATAATGAGAACCTGAATGAAGACACAGATAGCATATTTATCAAAATTTCAGATGACACAAAATCAAGTAGGGAAGTACTAAATAGGGTAAAAGAGTAAGGTTCCACGTCAACTTTCATAAGTTGGAACAAGGAACTGAACTTAACAAGATGACATTTACTAGTAGAAAACGTAAAATCCCACCCTTGGGCTCAAAAAAACAAACAGCACAGCTGTAAAATTTCAGAATTTGGACAATGGACCTCAAAGAGCTACACACCGATTGCAAAGTCAGCATGAGTCAAGGGTATAATGTGACTCTCAAAAAACCTAAGGGGAGTTGACGCTGCATCATTGGAACTGGAGAGCGCAAAAGACGGGAGGTGAAGAAGGTGATGATCCTGTTCTTCTCAGCACTGCTGGATCACACCTGATGTGTGTGTTTCCTTCTGACAACACTCGAGGATGAACACTGACAAACTATCATGCATCAGAGGGGTGGAAACAGGAAGACAGAGAATCTGGAAATTATAACAAACAAGGATCATGAAAGAACTAAGGAAGTTTAACCCCAAAGAGGAAAAAAGATTTAAGGGGGCATGAAAGCTGTTCTCAAGTACTTTAAGAGCTATCCTATAAAAGAAGAGATAACGCTGCCCCCGCCCCCTAACTCTAGATGACAAAAGTAGGTCTCTGAGAGTAAGCTACGGGAGCTAAATTTCAGTTCAGCCTGAGGAAGAACCTTCTTTTCTAACAGTGAGAACTGTGCAAAGCTAGAATAGTCTGCCAGTTGAGGCCATGAGTTTTCTGTCACTAGAAGCATTCAGGCAAAAGCTGAAGGATCACATATGAGGTTGCTGCAGAGAGAATTCTTTTTTTTTTCTTCTTAAGGATTGTATTGGGGAATTGGGGAGGAGAACAGTGTTGGGGAATTGGAGAAGGGGAGCATTGTGCTTTTCCAGGACCCATCAACTCCAAGTCAAGTTGTCCCTCAATCCCAGCTGTCACAGCTTTCAATCTAGTTGTGTGGGGGGCATAGTCCACCATCCCATGTGGGAGTTGAACCAGCAACCTTGTTAAGAGCACACGCTCTCACCAGCTCAGGAGCAGCTCAGCTCAGGCGCAGCTCACTGGCCCATGTGGAAATCGAACTGGCGACTCTGCTGCTCAGAGGCTGCGCTCCCACCAAGCGAGCCACTTGGCTGGCCCTGGAGAAAATGCTTGTATTTGTCAGAGGATTAGATCAGATGACCTTTAAGGATCCTTTCAACGCACAGGTACTCTAATTCCAGGGATTCCTATTATAATTTATTATACCATCCCCTACATGAAAATATCTAATTCCCTTTGATAAATCAATAAATCTGCTGAATTTTGGAAATATTTCCTAGTTCTTTTCAGGCTCAGTTTAAAAATTTCAGATAAAGAGCCCAGACTCTGGAAACGACTTCCTGGGCTCAAAACTGGTGCTGTTACCTATTAGCTGTGTGACCTTGGGCAAGTCATTTAACCTTTCCGAGCCTCAATTTTCTCATCTATGAAATAGGAATAATAATAGTATCCAATTCATAGGGATGGTTATTAAATAAATTAGTATTTAAAAAGCACTCAGAATACTGCCAGCATATAGTATTATAAATGTGTTGATAAATTAAAAAGAATGTAAAATGGCTGAAAATAAAGAATGGGAATCGTTCAAGGATGCCCTCCTCCTTTATCCACTCATCACCTACAGCTCTGGCTGTAAAATAGCCAAAAGCCTAGAGGTGGCAAAAAAAAAAAAGCAAAAATTACACAAACTCCCTAAGCTGGGGGAGAGAGAGGTGGAAGCTTCCTGCTATTGGCTTACGGTAACCTCTGAAAAGATCTGTGTGTTTAATGACACCAGCTTATCCCTACCCCCCACCCCCACCCACCCCTTCTTGGAGTTGCTAGGAGGCCAGGGGTATGCTGCATTGTAATAAAGCAGCTTGGGGGAAGGGCCAGGGGCCAGAGAATGTTAGATATACAGGACCTGTCAGCGGGAGCTTAATATCCTCTTACTGGAATAACTATTGTCCCAGCTTCTCGACAAATACCAACCATCATTAATAAAAGAACTAATAAAAGCATTTATTGCGCTCAGGCAATGGCCTCGCTTTTTCTAGCTCCAGGGCCTTGGCAGAGGCAGCTGTTGAGGGTGAGGGTTAGAAAAGTGAGACTCCCACTGCAACCAAGAAATCAGTCCCTGCCCCCTGCCCGCAGCCCAGACCCAGCACCCTTCCCAAGGGCTGGACAGCCAGAGCCGTGGGGGACGGCAGCATGGCGATAATGCATCAGTGAGGCACAGACTGCTGGGTCCTTTTTAATAGTAAATATGGGGTGGTGATGCTTATAGGAAAAATTTGTCTTATCAGGACTTTCTTTCAAGAAGTTTAAAGCACAGCATCTTGCCAGGTTATTACCCCCATTTTACTGAGGGGGGAAATGAAGGTGCGGAGGAATTTAGGGGCTCGCTCAGCCATACGATGTATGGCATCCTTGTCAGAACTAAGACTAGCATCCAATATCCTTGACTCCCAAATCCAGGACCATTTCGAAATTTTTAAACAAATGGTGAGGCTCTATGTATCTGTGCCCAGCCTCCAGTGGGGGATCAGTGCATGCTGTGAGCGTCATCATTGCTTCTCTAAATTATTATTGTTGTTATTATAATAACTAGTGGGTAGAGTTGAGTGGGTGGTGAATACCAGATAATTACTAAGACCCCAAAATTAAAGTGTTCGGTCTTTACTTTTCCACGGCTGCTCAAAGATGAAAATGAAAGCTGGCCTCCAGAAAGCCCTGGGAAGAGCCCTAATTTTGAGATAAAGTGAGTCCAGGAGGGGAAGGCAATAAAGAAAGGCCAGGCCCAAAGGCCCAGGAAACCAGCCTTGGAGATCCTGGGATTCTGACTGTGGATGACACAACTGTACAGGAGGCCAAAAAGGCACCAACTGGGTTCAAACCCTGGCTCTGCCACTTTTTTGCTGTGTGCTCATAGGAAAATTACCTAACCTCTCTGAACTTCAAGTTCCTCATCTGTAAAATGGGGAAAATATTCATCCCTACCCCCTAGGGCTTAGAAGATAGGCTGTGAGAACTCAAAAATATATGGGTTCTTTCCACCTCTAAGCCTAGAGCTTTGTCAGTGAGGAGGAACACTACTTGTGGGCCCATATGACTCTCCTGACATCAGGATGACATTGGGAGGCAGAAAAGTCTTTTTCTCAGGATGACCGGGGTTCTGTGGAGAATAACTTTGGCCTTAGTTTCCTCCATATTTAAGACAGGGCAACAAAATCTCTGACCTTGGCTCCTCCCTGCCCCTGAGGGTTGTCAGATGGATGGAGGCGATACCATCCTGGGAGGAAAGGTGGGTGTTAATAACAGCACCCTGGATCTCTATTATTATTGTCATTATTCTGGCTCTGTCCAGTAAGCAGCGGGGACCCAGGTGATTCACTGTCTGCATGCTGCAGCCCTGGTCCACCTGTTGGGACTTGCCTGCCTGCCAGGATTCTTCTACCTAAGAGGCCTCTTCCTCCTTCCCAGCTCCTGAATGTAGCTCAGGGTCCTTTATCATTAGATGGGAAGGGAGCATGCGGGAGACATTTGGGAATAGAGTGCCCAGCCCAGAGGGGCTGGAACCCCTGCGCCATTGGCTGCAGCCCAGCCTCACATCAGCAGCCACAGAGTGAGTCTAGGGTATAAGGGTAGTGGCAGCTGGGGCCCCTGGTGGTTGTGAGGTTCAGACCATCCACTTCTGGAGAGATCTGATTCTTTCAGAGTAGCCCTGGGGATGGTAGGGACCAGGGAGAGAGGGGTTCAAGACAGAGAGGGTTCAGGCCTGGGTCTGTCCCTATGACACTCCTCTTTGGTAGAGTAGGGGGAATGGCGGCGATGGCATGAAGGGAAGCTTCTCTGAGTGGCAGAGGCCTGGCATAAGGAGCTGCCTAGAAGCTGGGTGGCATCAGAGGATGGTTCGATTTTACAGTCTGTAGCCTAAAATTTCAACAACTGCTGCGGGTAAGGAAAGAGAACTAGGGTGCTTCTGAAAGCCCCCTCCCTGCCACCAGGCATCTCCCCACCACTCCGCCTTACAAGCACTCTATAAATGTGATCTGAACATCTGTGACTCACTCGCACACACCCCTGCAGTTTTGTGGTGAGGACACAGCTAATCATAGAGTGTTTGGGGAAGAAGAGGGATTTTGCCACAAGCTCCATGACAGACTGTCTTCCTCCCTCTCTAGGACAGCTAAGCGGGGATGGCTGCCCTGAGCTTGGCAAGGAGTTGTTTCTGTCTTCCTGAGGATTAGTCCTGCCTGGGGGTAGAGTACAGCCCCCAGAAGGGCCATTAGGTCAAGGTTAGTTCCCTGATTGCTAACCAGAGGTCACACCGGGAAGAC